CATATTGTCACGGGATTGTGTGTGTGTGTGTGTGTGTGTGTGTGTGTGTGTGTGTGTGTGTTTGTCTCACATTTCGTCCCGCACTTTAGCTCGGGAAACACAAAAGCTAGATGGTTGAAATTTTAGTACAGTGTTCCCCGCCAAGGTTTGACGCAGCAAATTTAAATTCAGCCTTCCCATACTCGGGGGTTACACGTGCGGCCCCGTAAAAGTTTAGCGGGTAAATTCATTATCTCGGGGACTACGAAAGCTGGGAAACTGAAGTTTTTTGGATGTGTGCTCTGCCCAGGTGCGACCCAGAGAGCTTAAATTTAACCTTCCCGTGCCTGTGGGTAACGCGTACGGCCATGTAAACCATTATCTCAGGGACCGCGAGGCTAGGGGGCTAAAATTTTGTGGGTATGTCGCTTGACTACGTGCAGCCCAGAAAAATTAAATTCATTTTTCCCGTGCGTTTGGCTATCGCGTACGGCCCAGTGAAGCATTTGGCGGAAAATTGTCCCAGGAACCATGAAAGCTAGTAAGCTGAAATTTCAGAAGGATATTTTCTGCCGCTGCAGGAATCTCACAAACTTAAATTTAGTTCCCAAGTATGTAGAGGTCTTGCGTAAGACCACGTGGGAATTTTGATGTAAAAGACTAGCTCAAAAGCCAGAAAACTAGGAGGTTGAAATTTGGAAGGATGTCCCCCATCCATGTTTTCAAATTCAGCTCTCTTGTACCGGCGCATGAAATTTTCAGTGAAAAATTCCTCACCTTAGAAGCCAAACAGCATATCTACTATTTTACGGAAGTGTAAAACATTTATATTTAGTAAGCAAACGTCCGCTGGACGGAACTGCGCAAAACGCATGATCGCACCGGCTACTCTGATGCGCTTCGCTATTTATTTCTGGTTAAAGGCGAACAAGGAAGCTTTTCGGCAAGAGAAAAGTGACTAGTATTGTCAAAATAGTTTGTGGGATCATTAAAAGTCTCGGACAAATTTTGAAACTCAATCAAAAGTGGGCGATGGCTGGAGAAATGCAACTCAGGGTAGAAGAGCTGTCTGTTTGTGCTGAGCATCCCATAACGTTGAATTTCACATCGGTAATTGTGGGGTCTCAGTTTTCATGGGTGTGAAATTTTGTGCAGTAGCGTAATCCCAAGCGATAGCCTTCCAGGGGGTAACCCTGCGCAAGGACAAAGTTACTCGTTGCGGACGGGACTGGGTTTAGTTTCCATTTATCCAGCAAAAAAAGACGTAAGAAGGTTGGCAAAGTAACTCCTAGAGGGTGAATTTGAAATCCTTGAGTTATATCTGGACGGAGAAAATAACCTCAAAATTTCAGCTTTTTAGCTTTTCTGGTTCCCAGGAATCATAAAAAGTGATAATTTTTTAAAGAAAGTATTGATTCAAACGACAGTCAACTTTTTATTGTGTTTCAAATATTTGTCTTTTTTTCAGTTATTTTTGTCTTTTCAGCTTCCATCGTTGCTGATAATCCGCGTGGAACGAGTTGGCTATTCCGGTGGCACGTTTAAGCGGTATGAGCACGTC